AAAAAAAAAAAAAAAAACATTGTTCAGCTCTTAAGTCTGGAAGACCTAAAGATTTGATCACGGCCTTGACAAACGTGATGATTTTTGTATAATGTACTGAAAATTAATTGTTTTGAAATATTTGCTTTGTTTATGGCATACATGGATGCTGCTTCTATTATAGACATTTTGATTCATTTCTTACTTTTATTAAGTTAAAAAAAAAATCGTTTTAATTTTGTAAATAACAGTTTTAGTTTTTTTTTTCATTTGTTTTTAATGACATTTTTGTAAGAATGTGTGAAACAATATGTTTCCCAGAATTTCATTATTTTGGGCTTGTCCTCTTTTCAGAAAACTTCCCTTCTTAGATTAAACGGAACAAAACAAAGTTGCACCTTTACTAAAAACTTAATGAAACTTTGTGAACAAATTTGTATTTTTTAAACAAAAATATATGTACATATAAATGAAAGTCATATACATTTGAAAAGGTGAGAACCCTGTAATATTTCCTTAATAAACATTATATATAGTACAGTGATATTTTATACAACTATTAATTGTATTTACATTGACTTCTTATTTATATTCACATTATAATCTGCATATTTTACTTTTTTTTTTTCTCTAACTGTCATCGACATCGTGTGCAAACATCATGGCAGCATTGACATTAACCTTTGTCCCGTATGCATGAGCAGTGATTGTGTGTTCTTTGGGGCTTTTAGGTATAAGGGGGAGGGGATTGTCAATGGCAGTCCAGAGAAAGTGTGGGACTGCTTGAAACCTGAAATCAATGGACTACGTGTAAAATGGGATGCTAATATAAAAAAGTTTGAGCTGCTTGAGCAGGTGTCTTCGGTAAGAAAAACACAAATACACACCCATGTGAAAGGAGATCATTGTTGAGTTAAATCACATGACCTGACCAGTTCCTCTTTCAGCTAGGTGTAAGAAACAGTGTTTTATTTCAGAATTCTTATTTAAATTGCCAAAGATCGCTGATGGTAATTCTTATTTTAAAACAGTCTTTTGTATCCCAGTTTAATGTGCACAGTCAGCTATAAGTAAGCCATTTGTTGGCTAACATCCTGAAAAGTGTAAACACTGGGTGAATGGCACATAGATCTGATTGTCGAGTTTACAAACCAGCCCAAAAAGCAACATTCGCTCAACCAATAGCGTGAGTTTGAGGGCGTTTGTCCCATCATTGTCAGACTAGAGAAGTATCTGGCATACCTGTTTGAAAACAGTAATTATTTTTGCCGTTTCCCTTCGCTTCACTATTAATAAATCTTATTTTTGATTTCCATTGAGATGTTCATGATGCACATGGCATTGCAATGATTTAGTACATAAAGCAGCGATCATGCAACAGTAGATTTATACATTTCTATATCTTTCCTTTTTCGTTTCATAGGATGTTTCGATCTGTCGAACGGTCACGCCTTCGGCTGCTATGGGTATTATATCACCTCGAGATTTTGTTGATGTCATTTCCGTTAAACGCTATGAGGATGGCACAGTTTCATCAAATGGTACGCGTGGCCTTTCTCCTTTAGCTGGATCTGAATCTGACACTGAATAGAATCACAGGGTCATTATAAAGAAACATTAGACCACTATCTTAATAATGCTGTTATTGATATTGTTATCGATTTATAGCTACCAATGTAAGCCATCCAAACTGTCCTCCTCAACCTGGCTACGTCAGAGGCTTCAACCATCCTTGTGGCTGTTTTTGTGTTCCTGTTCCTGGGTGAGTTTCTCATGTCTTTGGTTGATGTAATTCAAACATCAGACAACAGATGGTGGCAAAAAATTACATTTCAGATGTCTTTTTTTCTTTAGGCATTGGTGGCAAAATACATTTCGGATGTCTTTTTTTCTTCATGCATTGGTGGCAAAAATTACATTTCAGACGTCTTTTTTTCTTCATGCATTGGTGGCAAAAGATTACATTTCAGATGTCTTTTTTTCTTCATGCATTGGTGGCAAAAAATTACATTTCAGATGTCTTTTTTTCTTCATGCATTGGTGGCAAAAAATTACATTTCAGATGTCTTTTTTTCTTCATGCATTGGTGGCAAAAAATTACATTTCAGATGTCTTTTTTTCTTCATGCATTGGTGGCAAAAAATTACATTTCAGATGTCTTTTTTTCTTCATGCATTGGTGGCAAAAAATTACATTTCAGATGTCTTTTTTTCTTCATGCATTGGTGGCAAAAAATTACATTTCAGATGTCTTTTTTTCTTCATGCATTGGTGGCAAAAAATTACATTTCAGATGTCTTTTTTTCTTCATGCATTGGTGGCAAAAAATTACATTTCAGATGTCTTTTTTTCTTCATGCATTGGTGGCAAAAAATTACATTTCAGATGTCTTTTTTTCTTCATGCATTGGTGGCAAAAAATTACATTTCAGATGTCTTTTTTTCTTCATGCATTGGTGGCAAAAAATTACATTTCAGATGTCTTTTTTTCTTCATGCATTGGTGGCAAAAAATTACATTTCAGATGTCTTTTTTTCTTCATGCATTGGTGGCAAAAAATTACATTTCAGATGTCTTTTTTTCTTCATGCATTGGTGGCAAAAAATTACATTTCAGATGTCTTTTTTTCTTCATGCATTGGTGGCAAAAAATTACATTTCAGATGTCTTTTTTTCTTCATGCATTGGTGGCAAAAAATTACATTTCAGATGTCTTTTTTTCTTCATGCATTGGTGGCAAAAAATTACATTTCAGATGTCTTTTTTTCTTCATGCATTGGTGGCAAAAAATTACATTTCAGATGTCTTTTTTTCTTCATGCATTGGTGGCAAAAAATTACATTTCAGATGTCTTTTTTTCTTCATGCATTGGTGGCAAAAAATTACATTTCAGATGTCTTTTTTTCTTCATGCATTGGTGGCAAAAAATTACATTTCAGATGTCTTTTTTTCTTCATGCATTGGTGGCAAAAAATTACATTTCAGATGTCTTTTTTTCTTCATGCATTGGTGGCAAAAAATTACATTTCAGATGTCTTTTTTTCTTCATGCATTGGTGGCAAAAAATTACATTTCAGATGTCTTTTTTTCTTCATGCATTGGTGGCAAAAAATTACATTTCAGATGTCTTTTTTTCTTCATGCATTGGTGGCAAAAAATTACATTTCAGATGTCTTTTTTTCTTCATGCATTGGTGGCAAAAAATTACATTTCAGATGTCTTTTTTTCTTCATGCATTGGTGGCAAAAAATTACATTTCAGATGTCTTTTTTTCTTCATGCATTGGTGGCAAAAAATTACATTTCAGATGTCTTTTTTTCTTCATGCATTGGTGGCAAAAAATTACATTTCAGATGTCTTTTTTTCTTCATGCATTGGTGGCAAAAAATTACATTTCAGATGTCTTTTTTTCTTCATGCATTGGTGGCAAAAAATTACATTTCAGATGTCTTTTTTTCTTCATGCATTGGTGGCAAAAAATTACATTTCAGATGTCTTTTTTTCTTCATGCATTGGTGGCAAAAAATTACATTTCAGATGTCTTTTTTTCTTCATGCATTGGTGGCAAAAAATTACATTTCAGATGTCTTTTTTTCTTCATGCATTGGTGGCAAAAAATTACATTTCAGATGTCTTTTTTTCTTCATGCATTGGTGGCAAAAAATTACATTTCAGATGTCTTTTTTTCTTCATGCATTGGTGGCAAAAAATTACATTTCAGATGTCTTTTTTTCTTCATGCATTGGTGGCAAAAAATTACATTTCAGATGTCTTTTTTTCTTCATGCATTGGTGGCAAAAAATTACATTTCAGATGTCTTTTTTTCTTCATGCATTGGTGGCAAAAAATTACATTTCAGATGTCTTTTTTTCTTCATGCATTGGTGGCAAAAAATTACATTTCAGATGTCTTTTTTTCTTCATGCATTGGTGGCAAAAAATTACATTTCAGATGTCTTTTTTTCTTCATGCATTGGTGGCAAAAAATTACATTTCAGATGTCTTTTTTTCTTCATGCATTGGTGGCAAAAAATTACATTTCAGATGTCTTTTTTTCTTCATGCATTGGTGGCAAAAAATTACATTTCAGATGTCTTTTTTTCTTCATGCATTGGTGGCAAAAAATTACATTTCAGATGTCTTTTTTTCTTCATGCATTGGTGGCAAAAAATTACATTTCAGATGTCTTTTTTTCTTCATGCATTGGTGGCAAAAAATTACATTTCAGATGTCTTTTTTTCTTCATGCATTGGTGGCAAAAAATTACATTTCAGATGTCTTTTTTTCTTCATGCATTGGTGGCAAAAAATTACATTTCAGATGTCTTTTTTTCTTCATGCATTGGTGGCAAAAAATTACATTTCAGATGTCTTTTTTTCTTCATGCATTGGTGGCAAAAAATTACATTTCAGATGTCTTTTTTTCTTCATGCATTGGTGGCAAAAAAGTACATTTCAGATGTCTTTTTTTCTTCATGCATTGGTGGCAAAAAAGTACATTTCAGATGTCTTTTTTTCTTCATGCATTGGTGGCAAAAAAGTACATTTCAGATGTCTTTTTTTCTTCATGCATTGGTGGCAAAAAAGTACATTTCAGATGTCTTTTTTTCTTCATGCATTGGTGGCAAAAAAGTACATTTCAGATGTCTTTTTTTCTTCATGCATTGGTGGCAAAAAAGTACATTTCAGATGTCTTTTTTTCTTCATGCATTGGTGGCAAAAAAGTACATTTCAGATGTCTTTTTTTCTTCATGCATTGGTGGCAAAAAAGTACATTTCAGATGTCTTTTTTTCTTCATGCATTGGTGGCAAAAAAGTACATTTCAGATGTCTTTTTTTCTTCATGCATTGGTGGCAAAAAATTACATTTCAGATGACTTTTTTTCTTCATGCATTGGTGGCAAAAAAGTACATTTCAGATGTCTTTTTTTCTTCATGCATTGGTGGCAAAAAAGTACATTTCAGATGTCTTTTTTTCTTCATGCATTGGTGGCAAAAAAGTACATTTCAGATGTCTTTTTTTCTTCATGCATTGGTGGCAAAAAAAAATACATTTCAGACGTCTTTTTTTCTTCATGCATTGGTTCATCAAGAGCATCAAATGTTTACTTTTTTCCTCTCTCTGTAGGGAACCAGGCAAAATGCAGCTGTTCAGCTTTTTCCAGACTGATCTTGGAGGTTTGCTTCCTCGTTCGGTTGTCGATTCATTTTTCCCCACTAGTATGGTGGAGTTTTACAGCAACCTGACCAAAGCCGTAAAATCGCTGAAATAGCACCAATGGCACTTTATAGATAATATACCCCCCTTTAATCTTAAATGTGAATATTTTAATAATTTGATGCACTTAATTGCATTTAATTAAGTTTTAGTGGACAGTGAATTTACTGTACTTATAGATTTATTCCTGATTCTTCCAATAGCTACACGTGTCCAAACACACTTGCACATAGAGTTAAGAGTACTGGAACATTTTGTTTGACATATTATTTCGGAAATTCTGAAAACTTGATTCAAACAATGAACTATTGCACAAAAAAATGATACATTTATGCATTTGGCAGATGCTCTTACAGGGTTTCTGCGGATTTTAATCTTAATTCACTTTTACACAAATTAAGGTCTTAAAAGGCCCTAAATAGGTGCAGAAAGCTTATAAATTCATGAAGTTATGGCATTCAATGTTGCATGCACTGCAAAAAATGAATATTTTCCTCATTATTTTTGTCTTGATATTTTGGCGGATCAAATATCTGAACATCCTTAATCAAGATACATTTACTTGAGATGCAAAATGAATATATGAAGTCTGAAACTGAACTAAACAGCACAAAATTAAGTGAGTTTATGCTTAAAACAAGAACAAATATTTGTCAGTGGGGTCTGAAATGGGGTCTTATTTTGAGCCCTTTGACAGATTTTTGTTCTTGTTTTATTCATAAACTCCATTTGGATAAATTTCTCAGAAACATGGCAATTTGCTTCTTGATTTAAAAATTTTTTAGACGCTTGCACCACAAAACAAGACAAAATAACTGAGGAAGAACATCTCTTTTTTTTTTGCAGTGTGATCAGAAGCTACAATGAAAGTAATTTCCATACTCTTGGTTGGGAGCAGAGGTATTTAAGCCATAAGCTATTTTTAGTAAAATGTATGAAAAAGTAAAAGAGTTTTGTTGGAAGTTTCAAACTGTTGCTAATACAACCCATTGTCTGCTCTAGACATTCACATTTAGAGAACATATTGATGTTTTGTGTTCCCTTCACTCCATTTCATAAATTTTCTTTACATTGTCTTAAAATGTCTTCATAAAATCCTGCAGAAACCCTGTTTTATCCAAAGTGACTGAAAGTGCATTCAAATTACATTTTATCAGTCTGCTTGTTATATGGGAATTCCATGGAGTCATTCCATCAGGGTTTTTTTTTTTACCATAATTCAGTAGTGTGATCTTATAATGTAGCATGATAATAGATTTGGATTATTTTCATTCATATAGGGCATTGTTAACTTTTTTTGGACTATACAGCTCTATTTTAAAAGGTAGTGAGCTGCCTTGCCGTCTGCTGGTTTGGAGCTCCCTACATAGGCAGCACAAATAATGCTCCTCACATGAAGCATAAGGGACTCGACTCATGATTGGTTTAAAGAGTTTGATTTTATCATACAACATGACGCTACTTTAGAATGAGGTATCTTAGAAGGCAACATAGGGTTACTGCTTCTGTGTCAGGAGTGCATGTTTGATGTCTGGCCTAAATAGGCAGTTCACTCATTTTTGGAACAGAGTTTTATTTTAATAAGCTGTTTTGAGAGTTTCAGTTACATATTTGAGGACAGTTGTCTTAGACTAGAGATTACATTTTTGAATATTGGAGTTTTTGATAGATGCTCAAGCTTGACCCTTATACACAAGTCTGGGTGTTACTTATGCTGAAACTTTCTATAAGTATTTCTATATTTGAATAGTGATATTTTAGCGCATAAATGGCTTTGGCAAATCAATGTTTACTGACAGACACATATCTTCAGACAAATTTGAAGAATTGCATTTACTGCTGTTCTCTGTTAACACAACTGAGTTTATGTACTGTATTTTTGAGACTGACAAAAAAGGCCAGAACAGTCATGACAGAATTATGATGAGGGATGTTATGATATAATGATAAAAGAATAGCCCACAGGCTTAAGGTTTAGCTGGTTAGCATGACCCCAGTGGCCCCTGCTGGTGGCCCAGTATAAAGCTTTTTTCTCCACCGATGGCCAATCAAAAGTATCCTTGTGTTTGTGTATACAAGTATCCACATCCACTGGGTCCTGTGCCAGCCAGACCAGCAACTGCCATTAAGATGAATGAGAAGTCTAATAGAACGGGGAGTTGAGTGGAATCCTGTGTGGAATCAGAGTAATTAAGAATGACTGAGATTCCATTTTTTTAGTTCCCGAGTTTGAATTGAGGTAGAGACCGGGATGCAGAGTTTGAATTAGAATTTACTGAATTGAATTAAACAAGTGACTGAATGAAATTTAAAGAAATCATCTGAAATATTTAAAATTAATATTAAATATAGTATGTTATATACTTAATAAATTAACTCAATGAGTTAATCATTTGATGAACCATGGAAGAAAGTTAAAAAGGGATAGTTTACCGAACAATTCTGTCAACTCACCCTCGAGTTGTTCCAAATCTGTATTTATACTTGAAGACAAAATATATTTAGAGGAATGCGGGTAAGCAAATTATTGCTGGTAGCCATTGACTTCCGTAGTATGAAAAAATAAAAAATACAATGGAAGTCAATGGCTACCAGCAACTATTTAGTTCAGACTCATACAGATTTGGTGTGAAGTTGAACTCTCCCTTTAATTTCCCAAAATGCTCCAATTTTCCCCAAAGTCTAAATGATTGTGTTTGACTAATGAGTTCCTCTGTTGTTTGATTGTTGAACATCTCATTTCAAATTCTATTCCAATTTTGCATCCTGTGGGGCGTGGCCAATTCAATTAAAATATACATGCATGAATTAAAAGGGAGTGCATTTTTAAATTGACAGTTTTGCCCGACCCTTTTAAAACTTTCCAAAAATATGGAAATTATGATTTTTATTTTTTTTTCCATAGACATAGTAGAAATGAATCCCATTTTGGCTTTCTATCTCTGCTTGTAATACGTCATAATCGCACATGGACAAAGGGACTGTTTAATATAGCACTGCTATGACTGACCTCAGAGGGAACCCAGTGTGTTGTGTGACTTTTTGATCTCTTTAATTACCTTTTGCCCGTTTGTGTCTAGCTCAGGGGTAGGCAAGTTCGGTCCTAGAGAGCCGCAGTCATGCAGAGTTCAGCCCCAACCCTGAAAAAAAAAACTCACCTGCCTATAGCCTAATTC